CTGAAAAAAACAGCATTTGCTAGTTATGTAGGTTTTTTTTTTAATCAATGAACCAGCAGAAACCAGCACATAACCAAAGAACCAGCTTATCACCAGAAATTAACCAGCATATGACTACCATATAACCACTACATGACCATCAAGGAACCAGCAGAAACCAGCACATACCCAAAGAACCAGCTGATCACCAGCAATGAACCAGCATATGACTAGCAAAGAACCACTACATGACCAGCAAGAAACCAGCACATAACCAAAGAACCAGCTAATGACCATCAAAGAACCAGCAACGAACCAGCAACAAACCAGCACAACTAGCAAAAAACCAGCATATGACCAGCACACCAAGCAAAGAACCAGCAGATGACAAGTAAAGAACCAGTACATGACCCGCATTTTAACCAACAAAAAATGAGCAAGAACCAGCACATGACCAGTTAAGAACCAGCAAAGAATCAGCATATGATCAGCAAAGAACCAGTACATGACCAGCAAAGAACCAGCACATGACCAGCAAATAATCAGCGAGAACCAGCACATAACCAGCAAAGAACCAGCATGTGACAAGTAAAAATTCTAAATATGAACAGAAAGAGCAGCACATGACAAGCAAAGAACCAGCACTTTAACCAGCAAAGATCCAACATATGACAAGCAATGCACTAGCAAGAACCAACACATAACCAGCACTTTAATCAACAAAGAATGAGCAAGAACCAGCACATGACATCCAAAGAACCAGCAAATAATCAGCAAAGAACCAGCACATAACCATCAAAGCATCAAAAGAACAATATCGAGGTAAAATTCTTTTTTATATATCCACATTCAATCATTTTAACGGTCCCTATATTGTATTGGTCCCACATTACTTTGAATAATCGGTCTGAAATTTCAAGTAATTATGACTTCAAAACAATATACTTGACTGAACAGTCTTGAACTTTGATAGTTAGTGACTGCTTCTATGATATCACTATATAGAATTTGCAAACAATACATACTCAATAAGATCCAGCCAGCTCAATAAGAATTCAACCAGCAAATGACCAAAGCCAGCAAGAATCAGCAATTAAGGTAAACTTGTTTTTATATTCACATATTCATACATTCTCTTTAATAATACAATTTCAGAAAATTATTCTTTGCAAATTCTGAATAGTGAACTCATATTAGCAGATTATCAAAGTAAAGTCAATTAAAAAGTGTAAATGTTGTTTTAAAGTCATATGTACACGTGATTTCAGACCGAATATTCAAAGTACCATGGTAAACATTATGGGGAGCAAGTCACTAAACAAATGTGCGAATATAAAAGCAACTTTACCTCAGGGAATCAGCACACGACCAGAACAGAATCTAAAAGCCAGCAGGTCCAGCATAAGTACCAGCATATGATCAGCAACAAACAGCACTTAAATCAGCATATGACCAGCAAAGAACCAGAATAAGATCAGCAAAACAGATTACCAGTTTATAACTATCAAGAACCAGAAAGAACCAGTAACGTTAGCCATGAAAGTTGATGAAACCTACCTAAGCATCTGCTGTTCTTTCTGCAGGAATCCAACCTATCATTCAATTTACCAGACTGTGCTCCACATCTCCACCCTTTTGATAAGGCTCCACGACAAAAAGTGGATGAGGGAAACACTTGACCTCTCGCTGTTGACCATAGACTGTAAAAAGATGGACGTCTCATCACTTTCTTCCACTGTTGAAAATAGTTACAAAAATGTCACAGTCAAATAAATTACCTGAAATTCCGGAAAGCATACATTTTTTGAAGAAAAAAAGTGCAATTTACGTTTAGTCTGGCTGACACCACGTTTATTTTCATGAGTGGTGTTTATGTCATGCATTGATCCACCAGGGGGCACTCGACATGCTTTGGCCTTATGGATGCGTCCCAATTCGCATAAGTTACTTATACTACGCCCTAACAATGTGTATCTTTTTGTGAAGGAAACGTATACTTTTAGAGTATGTAAGAGAGTATGCAAGCTTTGGGACATACTTATTTCGTTACGTTGTTACGAGCCCTGTAATCCACACATCATCCATTTCTTTCATATCTACTACTGGAGATGCAGCAGCAGGTTAATCTGCCATTCACAACTCTTTCATGCAGAGAAATCTCCTCAGGTCTTTGGATAATTATGCCACAAGGTAATGTCCAAACACGTTCAGATCACGTCACGTTGTTGTTGCAGATATATAACACGGAAAATGTGATTTAAATATTTTCCAGTGGGCTATTAACAGTAAAAAAAAAAAAATCATTACTGAAGCCTACTAGGTCCATCATGTTTGTACTTTAAATTGTACTTTTCACTCGTTCTATTCGAAGTCACGTCTAACGCGCAATGTATTGTGGGCAATATCAGCGGGACGGTTCAAAAATTGTACTGAAAATAGTCAACCATAGGTGTCATACTCAGAGGGCCACCCTGCACTGTTTAGCTCCAACCCCAATTATACACACCTAATCCAACCAAATTGAGTGCTTTAGGCTTCTTTAAAACCTAGATTGGAGTGTTGAAGGGCTGGAGCTAAACGGCAGAGCTACGGCCCGCCAGGAGATAAGTTTGACACCCCTGTAGTTAAACCATCCGGGAACCTTTGGCATACTCCGAGCATATACAAACTCGGTGCTGGAGGGCCGATATCCGGCAAAGTTTTGTTTCAACTCCAATCTGACAAACCTGGGCTAGCTAATCAAGCTCTTACTAGGCTTTCTAGAAACATCCATGCAGGTTTGTTGAGGCAAGCTAAAATCTGCATATCTGCAGAACCAAGGCATATCTGCCTGATCACAGAACCAAGTTTGGACACCCCTGGCACAATCTTTTCAACATACTATGATTTGGGATAATTCTTATTTTAAATACTCTTTAGGATAGTTAGTATGCGAATTGTGACGCAGTGTGTAGTTTTCTGGCCATACAAAACAAATGCTGCAAGATTGTGACGTCACTGCAGCTAGCATTTACACCCACCTCAATTAACTCCGTATTAAAACATATAAAGCAGCATATGACTAATATTAAGCATATAAATACATACCTATTGAATCATATCTATACCATTAGAAGACTATGTCGTTCCTGCCTGATCACAGAGAAATGTGAGGTCATTTCCAAAATGATGCCGACAAATGAGAATTTCTAGTTATGACTAATTATTTTGCATTAGATAAATGTGCAATATTATATTAATATCCAATAAGAAATGTTCAAGAATACTAATATCTTCACCTAGATCAGTAGCAAAATAAACAGAGAGCTGTCTCAAGCTAACAACTACAGTATAACTGGATGCCACTGTACAACAAATGGCAATAAACCTGATTTTGGGAAAGCCTTCTTTAAGCCACAGGTGTCAAACTCAGTTTCTGGAGGGTCGCAGCTTTGCAGTTTAGTTCCAACCCTAATCAAACACACTTGATCAAACTAATTCAGTCCTTCAGGCTTGTTTGAAACCTACAGGTAAGTTTGTTGGAACTAAAATGTGCAGGCTTGCGGCCCTCTAGGAAGTTTAACACCACTGCATTCAACAAAGAGCATATAATCACTATCAATCTAGACCAGGGGTGCCCGAACTCGGTCCTGGAGGGTCGGTGTCCTGCAGATTTTAGCTTCAGCCACAATGGGCTATATGCACTGTGGCACCAGACGCATTTCCAGTAAAATGTAAAAGTACTGTGCTACTACAGAAACGCTATAGATCAAAATAACTAACGCTTTGGAGAGTTGCCTTAATGTTTCATGCCATTATAGCACACTTATATGTTTACGTCAGCCACATGAATATGATATCTAAACTTAAATTTTAAAGTGTCATTACAAAGACGTGAGAACAGTACTTCTAGCTACAACTGCCGTGTTTAGCAACATACAGCCTCAGAGAAATTTAACTCTTGAGTTTCCACACATTTCCAAAAGACAAAGTCATGCAGAAAAGTTGGGTTGTTAATTTTCGACATTAGAATTTTACAGTAACAGAAAAGACAAGAGTGAGTAGCTGCACATTTCCAGTCTAGCGACCTGATCGAGTGCCAACAGGATGCAGACATTTGAAAGGAGCTTTTATAGCAAATGATTTATTTTCATGTTTATTTTCATTGCCTGTAAAGTGAAAAAGAACTGAACATTAACGTACATACCATTTCTTAAGCTACTTTATAATTGCACCATTACTTTATTCACTGTACATAATAAAAACATTATTCAGTGTATGTAATAAACACACCTGAACCAGTTAATCAAGCTCTGTCTAGGTATACTAGAAACTTCCAGGCAGGTGTGTTGAGGCAAGTTGGAGCTAAACTAAGCCGGACACTGCCTCTCCAGGATCGAGTTTGGGCACTCAAGTCATTTGCTTTAAATAACGATTTAGTCATAATTGATCAAAGAAATTAATTATTTGACTCATGGTGCCATCTTGTGGTGTGACTGACTGGAACGCAAAATTAGGTTATGTGGGAAATATTAACTTGGATTTTCCCACTTCCGACTTCAAATCAGATGGTGCAAGGGTTCCATCAGTTTTAAGCACATACGCAATGCAATCACTGACGTACATTAGAGTCAACAAGGGTATCAAGGCATAAGTTTCCAACAAGAGAATAAGGCAGAAGTCTTTATTTATTGCTAGCTCTATTAATGATTTCTTTTCTCAATCCAAACTAAATCTCTTGTACTGCAGATCAAAGACTTTCCCAATCATGTATTTTAAATGATCTCTCATAATTCAGTGTTTATGTGGAGCCTCAGCCGTCGGCTGCATGAGATCTTGGCAAAACCCATCATGAAACAGTTGCTAGGAAACAAGAGCGCCATCATCTGTTAGTCTTTATTTTTTAAAGGCTTTCTAAACTTAAATTGCTGGAGAGAAAGTCAAAAAGTCATACATGAATAAACTAAAACACACTCAAACACGTCATTTATATTTCGAGAAAGGAACAAGATGACTCGAGGAAAGAACAGGATGACTCCAGATGTATTTCATTACATGTCTTTATTGTCCAAAGTACCATAAAATGATAACTGTACAACTCGGCACACTTAAGCAGAACCAGGGCACTAAATCTCCAAATCGGGTTGCTGGTTGTAGTTGAAGACACATTTAAAAAAAAAAAAAAAAAAAATGTACATATTTACATAGAAAGACTTAAAGTGTGTTGATGCTCTTCGCATAGGAAACTAACGAAAACAAAACAAATTAGGACACTTTAAAACATAATGCGAGTCCCTGGTACTGGACACACGGAGTGAGGAGAGCAGACAGTGGATCAGAGATGAGAGAATGGTCAGAAAGGCACTCTGTGACGTCTATGTACAGGTCATTCATCGTTCAGTGAGAGGAGCTCACGTTCAGGCTATTCACAGTAGTTACATCCCAGTTGACAATTACACCGTAATCAAAAACACACATATGAGAAATGTTCCATAGTTTGCATCAAGTACCCATATTGTTCAAGTTGATGAAGAACTAAATTTAAACAGAAGGGGGAGGGGCTAAAAAACATGACAAACATTGATAACGGCAACTTAAAATCCACTTAACATTGAGAATTTCAAATTTAAAAACTAGCTTTAACATGGGATGCCAGAACAACGACGACAAAATAAAAATAAAAGCATTCTAACGTTACAGCACCACATCTGGCTCAATCTCGCCAGGCCTTCCCTAGCATTTATCTCAGTGTTTCGTTACAACACAGCCTGAAAACTCTAAAAAGGAGCTTGGTTTTTGCTGCCGAAACAACGCAAACGGGTTTTTAGTCGACTCCTGTGATAGATTGTTCTCTTTGGTGTTTCGTGATCTCAACAAGGCAGATCACGGTAGGCTAAAAACTACGTTTTAAAACAATTCATTCTCGCCAGGCACCACAATTAGCCGTGTTAAGCTAAAAGGCTACAATTCTTTATTTGTTTCCTGTTCTGTAATACATTAAGGTAAGTGTAAACATGATCCTTATATTGTCCAATGGCACTCGATAGATGATGGACCCCTCTCTTCCACAAGGCTCAAACATTTCCTGCTCCTAAACAGGCAGATCTCACGCACGCAAGCACCTGGAAAGAGACCTTGGAGATAAAACTACAGACCTACCATTGTTCCACTCGACAATCTGGAGATAAATGTCAGCGCACTCAAAGGGGAGGAATAATTATGCACTACGCGTGTCGTGACATCACTCAAACACAATGTGAAGGCATCGTCGTATAGCTTCTCCTTTGACATCAATGCATAATGCAGTGGAAAGTGCGGCGTTTGACTGACTCCTCCCTCTCTCGTGCGGACTTGATGGGAGTTAAAAGCACTTGGTAAAGCGTGGGTTATGATTCCTGCTCCTCCATAACCACAGGCTTTTGAAAACTTACCACCGTTTTGGGGGTCAGGTTGATGCCGCAGCTTTGATATGGGTGAACCGATTTCTCTTTTAGTTTTTTTTGTCCTTTTTTTTCACTTTTAAATATTTAAATAGATATAAAACTTTCTCTTTTTCCTTTTAAACAGACAGTTCTGTACACATCTGGTACCAGTACATATAAAATTACAAGAGTTGTTAAATTAGAAAGGATATGTTCCTTCTGAATACGTCATATCAAAAATATGCAGCTTTAGTAAACATATTCATAGTACTTTTTTTTCTAGGCTAACTTTACATTGCTACAGTTTTCAGAGTTAGAAATATAGCAAAAGTGAGAGGACGCTGCCTCCAGCTTGCGTCTCTCTGTGAGTGAGTGAGTGAGTCCGAGGGCTATCGGTGCCCAACGCAGTGATCTCGAGCACTTCTGTTGAGCGGAGGTTGAAGCCTCGGAGTAAATAGTGTACTTTCCACAGCCTTCTTCCTCGTTTCCGCACCTCTGGCTCTCCAGCACGTCCACGTTCGCTGTACCAAACTCAGCACCTGCTCACTGCAGCTCCATTCTGTCATCCTCCACAGCCCGAGTTCCTCTCCTCTAGCCTCCGTCCCGGCCTCAGTCGACCTTCTCCACTTTTCCGATGATCTTCTCCTCGAAGATGGGCAGGATGGCGTCATCTTCGCGTACCTCCTCGAACACCACTCCGCAGTCAAACTCATAGCTTACTTTCTTGAAATAATACCTGGGGAAATAGAGATAAACAATGAAAAAGGTCAGTCAAAAACAAAACATACTACAGCAATTACAGTGCATCCGGAAAGTATTCATAGCGCTTCACTTTTTCCACATTTATGTTACAGCCTTATTCCAAATGGATTAAATTAATTTATTTCCTCAAGATTCTACACACAATACCTCATAATGACAATGAGAAACAAGATTATTACATTTATTAAAAATAAAAAAGCTGAAAAATCACATGTATATAAGTATTCACAGTCTTTGATCAATATTTTGTTGATGCACCTTTGGCAGCAATTACAGCCTCAAGTCTTTTTGAATATGATGCCACGAGCTTGGCACACCTGTCTTTGGGAGTTTTTGACAATTCCTCTTTGCAGTACCTCTCAAGTTCTATCAGGTTGGATGGGAAGTGATGGTGTACAGCCATTTTCAGATCTCTCCAGAGATGTTCAATAGGATTCAGATCTGGGCTCTGGCTGGTGATGAGCAGTGCCTGGTTTTCTCCAAACGTAATGCCTAGCATTTACTCCATAGAGTTCAATTTTAGTCTCATCAGACCCAAGAATTTTTTTTCTTTTGGTCGGAGAGTCCTTCAGATGCCTTTTGGCAAATTCCAGGCGAGAAATGGCCATACAGGCCTGATGGATTGCTGCACAGATGGTTGTCCTTCTGTAAAGTTCTCTTCTCTCCACAGAAGAACGCTGGAGCTTAGACAGAGTGAGCATCAGGTTATTGATCACCTCCCGGACTAAGGCCCTTCTCCCCCGATCACTCAGGTTAGATGGCCGGCCAGCTATAGGAAGAGTCCTGGTGGTTTCAAACATCTTCCACTTACAGATGATAGACGCCCACTGTGCTCATAGGAACTTTCAGAGAAGCAGAAATGTTTCTGTAACCTTCCCCAGCCTTGTGCCTCGAGACAATTCCTTTGTCTTCATGCTTGGTTTGTGCTTTGACATGCACCGTCAACCCTGGGTCCTTATATAGACAGGTGCATGCCTTCTCAAATTATGTCCAATCAACTGAATTTACCACAGGTGAACTCCAATTAAGCTGCTGAAATATCTCAAGAATGATCACTGGAAACAGAATGTACCAAAAGCTCAAAACCAAGAGCTCAATTTAGAGCTTCATGGCAAAGACTGTGAATACTGACATATATGTGGTTTTTCAGGTTTTTTATTTTTAATAAATTTGCAAAAATTAAAAAAAAATCTTTTTTCACATTGTCGTTATGGGGGATTGTGTGTAGAATTTTAAGCAAATAAATTAAATAAAAATCCATTTTGGAATAAGGCTGTAACATAAAAAGGAAAAAGTGAAGCTCTGGGAATGCTTTCCGCATGCACAGTATTTGAGGCCATTTGATACTGGAAGTTGAGAGTTCATTCAATAATGAAATAATGAAAAATCTAGTATCATCAATATTACAAACACGGTTGTAAAATCCTTTTTTCTGTAAGTTTTGCTTAAGACAATAGCTAATTTCCATCTAAAGCTGCAAATTATAATTGTGCACATAAAACACAATTTTGCACATAATTTTCTAATGACCTGGCAGCAAATATCAAAAAGAAGTCAACGTAGGTCTTTTTTCTTAATAAATTCCTCAAAGATAAAATGCAATGAAAGCACGCCGGCTTTTGGAGGCTCAAGTTTTGAGAAGTAAAATTACTAAACCACTTTGATGCAAATTGTAGCTATTTTATAAATAGAATGTGGTAAGCCTGATGGTTTGTCCATTAACGGTTCCCATCGCACCCATTTTTATAATTGCAAGATCACAAGCCTATATATATATATATATATATATATTAATTTCAGAACTTATTGAAAGGTTTGTTTTGTTTTTTTTAACTTGCAAATTGGTATTGCTGTGTAAATTAATGAAAAAAACAAAAGTTGGCAATGCCCTAATTGCACTTCTGTCATCAAAAAACCCTGTGTTAGTTCCACCAAGCATTAGAGGAGATACTTTTTATGCAATTACATGCAAAAGTGACAGAAAATATTTAGATTTAATAAAGACAGCAAAAGTATATTAAAAGGGTTTTTAAAAACAAAAACTACTCATTACAAACTTTGAGACAATATTGCTTGATGGATTGCTTGAAACATTTAACATATTTTCATATTTATAACTGAATCATTCAATGGCAATGTTTAGGGCTCTATGATTTCTGAAATGAAGACAATGATCAAATTTAAACTGAATTTACCATATAACAGAAAGTTATACAAAGTTATCATCATTTAAAAATAATAACTTGTCCTTGCATTTTTCCAATTGTTTACATGGGTTTCAATTTCGCTACACATGCTTACATTTTGGTAATCATATTTTAAACATAAAAAATAGATCCAAAATTAAAAGGATTAAAAAAAAAAGAAAGAAAAATAAAACTGACTTCATAGCATACATTTTATTAGTTATTTAATAAATAATATTTTATTATAATATTTATATAATTACTATTTATATATTATAATTAATAATATTTTTATTTGAAGTTATTACTCATTTACTGTCACATAGTAAACCTTTATATTTAGTGGAAATCTTCAGCAGCATTACTCTATTTTACATTTTCCAAGCAGTTAATTCTCCATCATTTCATTCTTTTTTCTGTTTCACAAAAGCTGTTTGTAGCATGTTAAATGTGAATATTGGACAAAATCAATAGGAGAATGAACTCAATAACCCACTCATGCAAAGAACATTAAAAAAGTGCATTTACTTGTAGCTCCCTTTCTTAGTGAGCAGCTCCTTGAACTGTCCAAGCGTGACGATCCTCCCCTTGACGGACGTCCTGTATGGGATGGGTTCACCGCAGAAATAATAGGCTACGGTGATGTTCTCACAGGGCTGCTTCTTCATATTCTTATGCCTGCAAAACAAACCAAAAAGCACTTGAAAAAGCCACCAAAGCATTCGTTCTGCAATAAAATAGGCCGTAATGGCGCGTTTGATTTTGTAGCGGAAATACAGATGTCCCGTAAGGATGTCTGTATTTAAAAGGCTCTTGTTTGTGTTCTGCTGGGCTTGAAGTGGGCAGGAGTGCTGGTGGGCGGCAGAGGCTTGGTTTACTGATGCCAAGTAAAACGGATTCCAGATGCCTGACAAATGTTCCTCAGAAAAAAAAAGATGAAAAAAAAAAACACTGGCACTGCAGGACCGCTTTCATCTCATCCACACCAAAGCTTTGATGTCACTAAACTGCGTATCTGCATTAGAAGCAGGCACGTCTCCGCAGCTCCAGCTCTCCTCCTGCCGTTAATGCACCAGAACGATACACCTCACTGCAACCAATCTGTCAAGAACTATGTGCAAGAGCTAAGACCAGTCTATCTAAAGTGTACTCTTAAATGCTGTGCACAGGAAGTGAGAATAGCGCTACACACTGAGGGGTTAGTGAGCGACATGGGGGCACTAGTGGTGGATTGATATTTTGTTATGGGAGATGCTAATGATTCAGAAAGCGCGTTCAATAGTGGTTGGTATAAAAATCACTTTTAATATTTATTAATGTAGACGTTTTTAAATTAATGTGGAAAAATATCTGAATACACACACATATATATATATATATATATATATATATATATAAATTAAATATATATGTTCTGCAATAACAGCACTTATACAGCCACTTCACCCTTCTGTATTACTCCGCCCACAACAGATCAATAAACTCACTACAGTTTGACAAATATTGCAGCTGTTGGACAACATAATGTATTTTTCAGGCCTTTTAAGGCAGGAATGTGGTTGTTTAGATTGCAGCTTTGCAGATTATTTATAAGGATAGTGTCTATTTTAAATATTTATAATTGTAGACATTTGGTGTGCCGGTGGCCATCAACCTGTCATACTGAACAGAGCCATGGTTGACGCTCCACCACAAGAGGGCAACATAGACCACATAATATGTCCTTTGGACAGAAAAACTCTACGTAATTTTAAACTACAGCTGATCAAATTTGTATTAGGCAGGTAAGTGACTTTCTAAGTAAATTTTGCTCTTTTGTATGTTGTGGTTATCTGGTAGTGTTTGCTTTGCTTTGGCTTTTCGGGGTTAATTATTGTGATATCTCGATTGCAACTTGTCATCACTTTAGACATTACGCTAGAGAATCATACTAGCTCTAAAGTGATGTTGGTGAAGTAGCAATGGTTTCTGCTGTTCTGACATCAGCTGCAGATTTTAAAAATGAAAGAACAGAAGTAGTTCCTTGTACAAAATAAGGTTTTAAGACTGCATTTGTTTTTTGGTTTTTTTAAATACACGATTATGCCATCAAACTGTTGTATTAAAGCAATATCACACTTGTAGCAGTGCGATGTGGTTGTATATCGTCCCTGGTGGGACACTAGGGCACTCGGCCTGAGCCAACGCACGCCTTTCACCAGTGCCCATATACAGCCATATTGCACTGCTACTCATGTGATTTTGCTCATATATATTTGCATATATATGAATGACAGATTTATACTTCAGATGGCAACAAAACATTTGCAATATTAAAATAAACGAACTAACTAACAAACTATTATGCAGTTCTTGCATTTTTAAGAAGTCTGGAAATCATACCCGTCAACATTGGGATGTGAAAATAAGGGATATGCCCATCATAATAAGGGACTCCCCGCTATATGACTGTTTTGAGGATTGCATATGAAGGGGAGACGGCACCTGTAATGAAAAGAAAGGGAATTGTGCCGTCTTTATGTTTATTTCAAAGTATTTTCATGGCTAAACAAAGCGAAAGCACAGAACAATCGCATTTAAGAGCAAGGGGCGGCCCCTGGTGGTTTGGCGGTATGGGTTGAGTATAGGGAGGCTCGGCTCTTTAATGTTTATTTGCCACCCTTCAGAGAAACACTGAAAATATGGGAGAAATACAGAAAAAAAACCTTTATGGGATGATAGCGGGATAGAACTGTAAAATGCGGGAGAATCCCAGGAAAAACGGGAGGGTTGACGGGTATGCTGGAAATGCACCCTTCAGAAAAATCACTTTAAATTACTTTTTTTTTTATTTGTACTTGCTAAATACTGACGGCACATGAGAAAGTATTAGTGTTATTGTATTATTACTATAATAATAATAATAATGTTAAAAGTGTTATTGTATCAAAAACAATATTCATCATAACTCTTGCGATTCTGAGCAGACAGCTAATCAAATCAATATTTACTAGATGTCCTGTCTAAAATCTAATTTTCATAGTCGTTTAAAAAAATATTAAAACTAATTTAAAAAAGAAGTGATTTGTTTTTCAGAGTCCTGCAGCCAAATACAAAAAAACTTGTCAGCCGACAGTTAGGAAAAAAATGACAAATATCAGTCGACCACTAGAAGTCACACGCTCCAAAGGCCTGACAAACACATGGGGGTGCATGTATGGACAGCATGGGATGGTAAGGGGATAGGCTACGCTCTATTGAAAAGTATTGGGGACATACTCTGCGTCGGAGAGCTCCGTGTCAGAGACGGCGGGCACCACACTGAGCGCAGGGAACAGAGCGGGTCTGACAGCGGTACGACCCCTCTGGATCACCTCCATCACATACCTGAGGAACAACCCCGAGTTAGACACACCGGCTGGGTTTTCAGGCACACATGGCCTCAACACACACTCATGCAACTAAGCCAGCCAAAAAATGTGTGCGGGATCATGTCGAGGGAGGATAGGGGAGAGGAGGGAGCCTTGTACTATGGGTAACAGAGGGGTTCACTGACAAATAAGACAACATCTGGGATTGAAATTAAAAATTCATTTAGAGAGTGATTGAAATGTAATCCTGAGGTTGATTTGTTTAAAAATGTGATCAAACTTCAAGAAAAGTTTCAATTTAATGATGTTGTGTTGGAAAAAGCAAGTAAAACAATATTGTATTGTATGCTTCATGATATTTATATGTTAACACCTCAAATACAGATTGAAATACACACTTAAATATATTTATAACATTCAGGATGCAATCTAAATTAAATCAATGAAAATAAATCGTATTTAATATATAGTTGAAGTCGAAATTATTAGCCCTCATGTGAATTTTATTTATTTTCCATTTCAAATATTTCCCAAATGATGTTTAACAGAGCAAGGAATTGGCATTAGCACCAACCCTCTACATCACAGGTGTCAAACTCCGTTCCAAAAGGGCCGCAGCCCTGCACAGTTTAGTTCCAACCCTAATTAAACACACCTGATCAAACTAATTGAGTCCTTCAGGCTTGTTTGAAACCTACAGGTAAGTGAGTTGGAGCAGGGTTGGAACTAAACTGTGCAGGGCTTCGGCCCTTTTGGAACTGAGTTTGACACCCCTGCTCTACATCATTCTCACTCTCTTCTCAGATGGGATGTTGGGTCAAATCAAAGGCTACTAAGGGCCAACTTTGAACATCTCTGAATTAAAATTTTAAAGCCTTTAAATGGCACTTTAAGCTGAATACTAGTCTCAAAAGAAAGATCTAGTGAAATATTATATAATGTCATCATGATAAAGATAAAATAAATCAGTTATTATAAATTAGTTATTAAAACTATTATGTTAAGAAATGTGTTGAAAAAAATATCTCTCCGTTAAACAGAAATTAAGAAAACAAAATGTATACAGGCAGGCTAATAATTCAGGAGGGCTAATAATTCAGACTTTAACTGTATAGACTGCTCCATACAGCCGACATTTTAAAAGTGAAATCAAGGCTGCGGTGGGAAGAAACCCGGAAGTATCGCCTGGAGTCACGCAGGAACGTTGTATACCTGGCTTTACATCTTATCAGTGAAGAGAAAGTGACACAAATTTATCTTTTCACAATCTTCCGAGTGACCCGAAGGTCCATTGTGAATGGACAGTGAAAATAAAAAGGGATATCAGGCCTCATTTTCATCTACAGTAAGGTAAATGGCACTAGTTTGCTAATGTTTTCTTTACCAAACACACGTTTTAGATGTCATCTGTTAAGCTCAAGTTAATGAGCTGACTCTTTCACTGTATTAGACTTGTAATGATACTGAGTTTCAGCACCAATTGATACTGAATAAAAATACATAAATAAATTCCCACTAATATTTCATGCTCAACAGAAATGACAGTGATTGGCCGGGTAGGTCATCAGTTCACTGCACTTCACCGATGTTTACAGATTGCAAACACAGACGAGCAATCCACTGATGACTCGACTGATCTTCCCGGGTTTAAAACGCTCCAGTGTCCATGTATCTGTGTTTGCACTTGGTGAAAAGTGTTCAACTGATAACCTTCAGAACCAATCAGTCATTTCTGTTGAGCACTAGTGAATACTGTCGAATCAGTGGTGTTTAAGAACGCACTCAAATGTTAGCGGGACATGGACGTTTTTAAAAATTCTGTACTGGGACAACACTATTACAGACAACACAAAGCTGTGCTAGAGGACTGCAGTGTTTTATTGCTCACCAGGTTACATAGGCTAAAGCAGGGAAGCCCCCATGGTGTTTACCTGGTGCCATGAACTGAAGCGTATTACTCTTAAAGAGATTGTGATTTTGTTTAAAGCCTAATATGCTTTTAATATTAAACTTAACTGAACAATATTAAAGTGATGTTTACATCATATCTGCGTTTTGCCGGTGTTGCCAGATATAGCTGACTTTTTCCAGCCCAAATGCTGTCTAAAACCCACCAAAATGCACAAAAAAAGCCCAAAATATTAGAATAATATTTAATTAGATTTTAATTAATTTAAACCAAATTAACCTAGTTACTTTAACTGTCATAATCGATCAGATTGAAGCACTGCCCCCTCTCACAGCACTGCACGTGTAGATTACACTACCTATTAGAGTATGTTTTACCTTCGAAAAGGGGTATAAATTCTTCATATTTGGCGTTTTTAATTCTTTTGAACATAATTAGGTGGTGCTTGTTAATCAGACAACGCTTCTATGTTAGTTCTTGCTGACAATTGTGGAAAAAAGTGTTATAAACTGAGTTTAGCTGCATAATGCGCGTGCATGCGAAAGGAAGTCAGATTTGTCCGGGGAGTCAGAACTTTCTTTCACTTTCTCTTTAGTGTGAGCCCACACGGTTTGCACTGTGCACTGGTCACTACTAACTGAACGGAGTAGGAGCACACGGTTATGTTATGTTAAGAAGTTGCACATAAAAGTTACGTTTCAAAACCACCAACTTTTGTCAACCCGCCAATGCATTTTTTCCTGCACAATCAAATTCAAAACCGCCTAATCTGGCAACACTGATCACAGCAACAGTTGGAGGTTTATTACACACAGCATATTGTAGCGATGTTTAAAGTGCTGATCCTACATATCCGGGTTTCTTCCCACCGCAGCCTCGCTTTCATTTTCATTTTAAATGGTGGCCGCATGAAATAAGTGTAAAACCAGAAATTTACATTATGTGTGTGCGTGTACTGATGAAAACAGTATTTCTAAATGTATGAATTATCATTAAATCCCCTGCATTAAGAATAAAATTAAATTATTTAAATGAAAAAAAAAAAAAAATCAAAGAATGAGCACCACACAAGTAATCACTGTCATGCAGTATTAAACCAGTCCACCGTATGTCATACATGAATAACATGCGTTCTCTCACCTCTGCTTGGCCTGCAGTGTCCCAGACTTCCTTCTCTCCTCCTCAAGCCGCCTGCGCGCCTCTTCCAGCTGGGTGAGGGGGTTTGGGGCTGGATTGGGGGGCATGGTTGGGTCCTGGATGAAGGGATGAGAGGGCTGCACGTTGTTGCGGAGCTGAGCGGTCACCCATGGGTGCACGGCCCCCAGACGCTCCACCGAACTGGGCCGGGCCGGCTCATGACCCTGAGCTTTCTTGGGCCCAGAAATGCTCCTGAAGCAAAAGCAAGACCACAATGAGCTTTAACATGATGACTTCATTTGATTGGTTAGACACCTGCTCTAGATTAATAAGGTATCTCACCCGTAAGGGCTCCTCTTATAACGCCCAGCTTCCTTCTCGCCCTCCATCATCCACTGTAGTATCTTCTGGTTCCTCTCCATGTCGTCAGCAGGTAAGGGCTCTCGCATCTCAAAGTTTCGACCATCTTCTCCTTTTCTGACCGGTCGCTTGGATAGCGTGCTGCCTTTACTGCTACAATGAAATTTGACAACATTAAAATCAATCAACCTGCTCAAATAAATGGCCCTACTCAATGTATTCTGTAAAAATGTACTAGATGTACTCAGTGCCACCTTTATCAGTATTTCTCAATCCCGTTCCTGCCACCAACACTGCATATTATGAAAGTTTATTTTGTCTGTCACACCCATTACAGGTCTTCCAGTCTCTGCTAATGAGCAGATGATCTGAATCAGGTGTTTTTGGTTAAGGAAATAGAAAATAGGCAGAGCTGGTGGTCCTCCAGGAACGTGGTTGAGAAACACTGACCTATATAACTGTATGCACTGAAATCAATTAAAACTCAGAATTTATTGCCTCATTTTGGTGAACTGTTGACTCAAATCTGAGCGTATGAAGTAACATACGTTGCAAACATGCTGCGTTATATGAAGAGATTAATCAGATCAATTTGATATCATTAACCTGCAAGTAATGTAATTGTAATTTTTATTTTATTAATTATTTCTTAGCCATGCTTTTTAAGTAAGGTAATTTTTAGTTGCATACATACATTTTTTTACGAAACACTTCTTTTTTTAGTTTACAAATATAATAAGCTAAATGTTTGCACAACACTGTGTCAAGGTCAGTGTCCTCACCATATAGCTGGATATACATGGAGAACTTCTAAACAAAAGTAAGATAATTATACCATATTACTAAATAAGAGTTAATAAACAAAACGTTTGTTAAAAGTTTTACTGAGATGGATTGTTGGTGATTAAATGTATGTAGGCCAGACTGGATAGCTTTAGATCAGGGTACCCAAACTTAGTCCTGGACGGCCGGTGTCCTGCTGAGTTAAGCTCCTACTTGCTTCAACACACCTGCGTTCCTAGTAAGAGCTTGATTAGCTTGATCAGGTGTGTTTGATTAGGGTTGGAGCTGAACTTTCCAGGACCGAGTTTGGGCTTGAAAAAGTCTTGTTAAAGTCTTGTTTAAAATGACTAAACACCTACAAATCAATTCTTCCGTGAATTTAAGACTTTTTAAGGGCTAAAATTTAGAATTTTTAAAATCCAGTGGACACCCTGTGCTTACTGCATGCACACAACCAAATCTTTCTATCCATGCACAAGATGTATGAGCAGCTCACACAGGTGCTTTGAAGTGTTGCACTAGTTGGATTGTCCCCAAAATGTAAGTGTTGAAATGAGTCACTGTTTGATTGTCGGAAAAAGAAATGGGGAAATGGAACAATAAAAGTGCTACTGTAGAGAGTGCTAAACAATTACAGCAGACATTATCAGCAGTGGCTTGTGCTGTGAAGCCAGGCAAACGTATAAAACTAGCTTTTAAAGATGAAATGTCAGACTCACAATTATGATTAAAATGTGATATTTTCAGCAAAATGTACTGTGTGCACCATCAGGTCAGGAGATGTCGTTTTTAGACAGTAAAGGAAAATAACTTGCTAAAATTCGAAGCCTGGTTTGTAGCAAAGCACAAATACAGTTTATTCTACTGTTGTTAGTACTGCAACTGTTATTCTTTTATTTTGTTTAGTTTTTAATGATAGCAGAATGATTAGGTAAGTTTAATGTGAAGTGTTTTGGATTTAATTCTATTTATATATTTATATATACTTCAAAGTTTTAATATATTATTGTAAGTTGTTTATTTAAAAAAAAAAATCCAAAATTCTTGCTGACTTACTGTTTTTAGTCAGTTTAATTGATCAGGGTATATGCAGGAATCCTAAAGGTAATTTCAATACCTTTTTAAGACTTTCTCAGAATATTTTAAGACCGCATCACCACTTCAAGTTCTAATCAGTATCAAATCTTTAACTTAGGCGTACTCACACTATGCTATCCGAATCGTGCCCGTTTGAGAAAGGTAAGAGCTCTGAATTGGGCTCAGACATGGTTCAGTTTGCCCGCCCTGGCCCGGTTGGAAGAGGTGTGCCAGAGCACGATTCACTTGGGCTTGAGTGAAAGTGCAAAGCGCGCAAGAGCCCGAAACTGAAGAAGTGACTTTTAAGGGACTGTTACATATGGATTTATTAATCATTCTTACTGTCGTAGATTACTAAAGACGCAAACCCCTCACTGCACGACAGCTGCACCTTCAGCAAACTCCTAATTCCTGCAGCACGAGGACTTTATGATCCTTTATGATCGTCAAAAGTGGCTGATCTGTTCGGCGAAATATTTTTCTGCGTGTCACTGCCTTTCAAACAACTAAACCGATTTGACTAAAGAAATCTTTACTGTGCTGAGCGAGAGTGCTTACTGTACAGCGCATCATCGATGACGAAAGCGTGCTCAGGCTCGAATGCAATATATGAGTGCGGGCCGTCGGGGGAGTCGGGAGGGGACGAGCATGCTTTGGCCTGGTGCAAGGCAACTGTACATAGTGCGAGTACGCCACTAATAAACAGTTGTTAATAAACAGTTGTAGTGAAATAAATCAATGGAGCACAACCATGCAACAGAACTCTGATAAGATCAGAAGAAACAAAGCTTGAAAGAATAAATTACGTAGTTGTTTTAAGCAACAGGCTTCAGCCACTGTTTAAACTCATCTTTTTCCAAACAGGAGTACGCAAACTTATATTTTGCTGTCTGTTTTGCTATATGTGGAGACACAACACCATCTCGCGTTTGTTAATATTAGGAGTAAAATAAATAAATTTATGCTTTTTATGAGTCAAACCCTTTGGACAACACTAGAACAAAATTCAAGACCTCGTAAAACCGTGATTAAGACGTTTTTATACCTTAAAAGGGTCTTAATTTTTTTATAATAGATTTATCAATTTTTGTTAACTTTTTAAGACTCGACAGACACCCTGCTGATGTAAGTTGAGATAACTAAAAAAGTTTATTTGATTCATCTAAAAACAGCAAGTTAGACTTTGCATTTGTAATTGACTTACTTAAATAAGTTTAAGCAGCATAAAAATATTGAGTTGACTTTTTGTGATGACATTTTTTTAATATCCGCTTGTTAAGTGGTGACGTGTTTGTGACGTATGTAATACCGTTTCCGGGTCCAAGCCGCCATTCATTTGAGTGGAGAAATCATTCGTTTATGATCACGTTTTATTCCTATCACACAATAAAGTTAATTTTATATAAAATCATAGTGTACACAACAATCTTTGGGCTTGCTGCATAACAAATACCAAAAATTTAACAATTTATAAAAAAAATTATCTCTTTTGGCCATCGGATATTAGGCATGGACATATATTGCGATCGTGATTTTCGAAAGCCTTAAAACGCTTTGTAAACGTTTATTATTACCATTTCATGAGTCTCCCTATTCAGTTGAATAGAGTGATTGGAACCGGAAGCCGCTTCGCGTGACGTCACACTTAACAAGCGGATAGGCCTCTTTCAAATCTTTCAAAAGCTGCATCAAAGGTGGCAGCGAAGACATTTATCAAACTTTCTATTCATCCTGTGCACCAGATCAGCATTTTAGTGGATTTGGGATCATTATTTGTCTTTATAGCTGACATAAGTGATTGAGACATGTACCTGTAACCCATAGGGTCCATGGTGTTGGGACCGACGCTCATTCCATCTGCATAGTTGCGTGACTTGGGTCCATAGTGGTGTTGCTCCGTGTTCCAGGCGAATCCTCCATGCATCCTTGCAGCCTCTGCCTCCGCCTGCTCTTTGGGCTTTCCCGCCGCAGCATAGTGTGTGTGGTGGATGTGTTTGTGATGATGCAGGTGCGCCGCCTCACCCTTTGGGCCCTGCCGAGCCTGGTGCTTGCCTTGGCCACCAGACAGCGGCATCATCAGCCCAGGAATCTTACCCGCCGGCAGCCCATCTGGCGAGCGGGACTTCGGAGAATGGCGTCCGGTGCCTGGAGATTGACAGCCAGGAGTTTTCATGACCCGCTGTACATGCTCATCCAGGATGCTTTCGGGGTTTTCCTCGTGCGCGTCCCTTAGCTGCAGCCCGTTGTAGCTCATTTCAGAGTAGCGACCACCATAATGCTGAACGTGGACCGCTGGAGGAATCCTGTGATTGGCCAGAGAGGGACCGGTGGAGATGTCTGCATCATCACCTTCCTCTTCCTACAAGACAACAGTGAGAGGGTAGATTTTAACAAATGCTTTATTTTGAAATTTTAACCAAATATTAATTATAATGACTGTGGAGAAAGTAATGAACCAAGTGGACTACAGAAAACAATGGGATGCAGAATCACTGTGTGTAGTAACAATGTTAAACCAGCAGATGTCATCCTTTCACAGGAGTCTTAAGATTATGCTATTGCTGAAAGAAAGGGCTTTGTTATGGTTACATTCAAAACACACAATGCCCTAAAAATGAGCAATGCAAGACTTCGCTTCATGCTCAAAATATGCTTTTAATGGTCATTATAATTAGAAAAATGAGAAAATAAATAACATCTGATTTGCAACCGGATCAAGGGATTTCATATATTTTAATGATTAGTTCTGTCACTTTCCGACCTTGATATTACCAGCAAACTACACTAAACTAGAGATGCACACTGTATTGTTTCAGCATCGATATCGCAATGTGTGGGTCCGCAATAGTCACATCGCAGGATATGAAATGTTGAACTGAGATACAGTTGATCAGTACAATAATTGAGAATACTTGAGAGTCACTGCAAAGGATAACCATAATAGAGTGAAACCTTATCGTTTCCATGTGTTTTAAAGATGTTTCAAGATAGTTTAAAGCATTCAAGAACAAAAACATATAATATTTGTAACTTCACTGTATTATTCATGTATTATTTCATTTTCTTTTCGGCATAGACCTTTTAATAATCTGGGGTCACCACAGCAGAATGAACCACCAACTTATCCAGCCTATGTTTTACGCAGAAGGATGCCCTTCCAGCTGCAATCTATCACTGGGAAACATCCATACACACTCATTCACACATACACTACGGATACCACATGTTTTGGACTTGTGGGGGAAACCGGAGCACCCGGAGGAAACCCACACAAACATGGAGAGAGCATGCAAACTCCACAAAGAAATGCCAACTCACCCAGCAGGGGCTTAAATAAGCGACCTTCTTGCTGTGAGGCGATTGTGCTTCCCACTGCGCCACTGTGCTCTTCATTGTATTAATAATTCAGTAAAATGATTCTTCATTACAGACTACTATACTGTGTTATTATTTTACATTTCATTATTCAATTTCTGGGTGACGCGGTGCCAATTACTTACCTTTCAATGAACAGGATTTGATTATGGCTGCAGATCAAATGCAAATTAGCCAACTGTAACGTATATTCACCGGCACATCTAACATTAACATTGTGTTAAAGAAATTTCGTCATTCTGAGTTCATAATAGTCCAAGAGGTGATGATAATAGTTAAACATGGCAGTTTGTTCATCTTTCAGGATGCTGAAACAATCATTTACCGCTATGTTTGTGCTTCGCTCACTTCTTTCACGCGCATTATTATTATTATTATTATGAGCTCAAGTTAGTTAATTCAAATATAGACGCGCAACGAGCTCTCCATTGAAACCACTCGCACTTTTAGACTGCCTCGTAAACACCAACAGGATTCTGCTCTTCCTCTTAGCTTTGCTGCTGTTCATCTAGACAACAACAAGCTGTGTTTGAGCTCGGGTTGACCATGGCTTGTTATTAATTGTATATATTATTACGATTTAATTTCTTGGCTATTTAAAAATTATGCTTCCTTTGTTTTAATTTTCCTGGCTTACACACGCTAGTAACATTTCTCTATAAACCAATAGCATTGAGTTGCGCGTCTCGCTCCATCTTTTGGTACCCTTTTCAAGTCAAGTCTGTGTTATTGTTAACAATATACAGTGCAGTACACACAGTGAAACGAAACAAGTTCCTCCAGGACCAAGATGCTGCATCAAACAACACTGACAACATAACACAGGACTGTGCACTACTATAAAAAAAATCTAGAGAATGTGATAAAAAATGATAAGGTAAGGGTAGCCAAAAGTGGTATAGTATTTTGACATTGGAAACGAACATAAAAGCATACAGAACTGTAGCACTCAGTGGAAATGGGTCATATTTAGCCAATTGACATGCCATATAATTGCTCCGTTTGATTAGACAGTTCATTTATATGTATTTTGCAAAAGGCCAAGATTCAAAAAAAAAAAAAAAAAAAAGTAAAAATAAAATATATTAAGTACACACAATACATAATAAGTAATTAAGTTTATTATTTCTATGTGTCTAAAAATATCAGTATTTAGCCACATTTTTTCAACAATCGTAAGTGCTTCAATACAGGAAGCAGTTGTCTTATAAATATTTCAGAATATTTCATATCAAACAGCCACGGTGAGCTTAAGAGACTACTTTCAAAAACATGTTTTTAAATCTTACCAACCTGAAACTTTTTGAGTGGTGGTGTATTTTAATCTTTAACAACACAGGAACTTTGCATTTGCATCTATTTCCATGAAATGTCATTCTCCATCAAACATGTCTTTTTTTTCACTGGGTTGTCTTCTCATTTTCATAATGGAGAAAGTCGGTACAACTGAAGGCACGGCAGGCAATTTGTGTGCAATGCTTTGATTCTCTCTCCAGGTAGTGAAGTCCAAGGAGATAAGGAATTCAGAGGATTTGGCTCATGCATAATTTTATTTTTACTGAACAGCTGTGCGGGTCAGAGCTCTGGATGATCTCTGACAGATCATGCCAAAAAAAAAAGCAGATGAGACGAGAGACAACACAAATCCAACCGCAATGCGCAAACCAGCCAATTTTCATTGCGCAGATTCGACCTCTAAAACTCACCTGTCCAAAAACACCTGAATAAAACTCTAGAAAAGCCATATCAGAGTTTATTCTGACTTGTCAAGGCTTAGTTGCCGGTAAAAACATGTTTAACTGTCAGAGTGGGTCCTGCTCAGTGGAGCAAGGAGAGCAGTATATAAAAGCCACTCAACCGATAGGTGAAGAAAACTTAAAACAAGTTTGCTGAAAACCGAAGCACCGGTGAGAATATCAATTAAGAGGCAAATGACAGCCCTCCTTCGGCTCTTAATAACTCCAAGCCACTGTTGTGTGACGGAAGTTCCTCTTACACAAGGCCAAACTACATAAATAATCTGCCTTGAGACTTAACACCTGGCTTTGAGTGGGGAAAAAGATTCCCATTTGCGGTGTGTGCAGGCATTTCTTCACGCCCCGACTGACTTCAAACAAAGTCATTACACTGAGGCAGACTAGCAAGTAGCTCAATCTCGGCAGGTGATTCACCTGACACTGCACAGAAAGACGAAAGAAATGAGCAGAGTCCCCTTGACAAGACGGGAAGTCTTTAGAAGACATCCGACTGTCTTGCTTGTGAAGTGAAGCACAGGACTCTGTGTTTGACAAAACAGGAATTAAATATATATTTGTATCTACCAGGGATGTCCTGATCGATTTTTTTTGTGCCCAGATTCGGCTAGAGTCATTTAATATTGAGAACCCCAGATACAAAGGCCTGATACAATATTTGTATTTTTCCTAGTGCTCCATGGACTTTTGGGTACATTTCAGTTATTAGAACCAATCCAATGTATTTGCGAACAACTATGCAGTTCTGTATTGAAGATAAATGTCTTAATTTTATTGATTTAAGCTCATGGTCTAAAGCGCATGTTGCATGTGCACTCGCACCCAATTCAGTGCTGCAGCGTCAACGCTTAAGAGGGCGTGTGTGAAGTAGGGACTGACCTGATCGTCATAGCAGCGTCAGCCAATGAAATAAGTTCGGAATCGGCTATGTCTCAGCTAGAGTATTTGCATAAAGTGATGTGATTGGCTGACGATTCCGATGGTGCTTGAAAACTTCTGTAGCAGCGCTGATGGACTCACAATTCAGTTTGGCAAAGCTGACTTCACCCATTTAAAGTTAATGGGAAGTGTTAATGCTGGCGTCTCCTGTGAATGGGGTGTTAGGCCATGTCTGAATCCACTTTTGCTATTTTAAGAACAGGAAAAACAATCGCCGCACTCGGCACATGTCTACAAGGGTTTTCCTGATTTTTTTTATTGGTTATGGGTGTGCTTTGGGCATGACATACATTAAACGAATCAGAGTCTCATCTCATGTTCCCTTCATCTCAAATTCCTTGTTGTTCATGTCTGACTTTGTAAGCTGAAAAATTAAATGCTTCACTAGAAAGGAAACGAATCAGTTGGACGTGCGGTTAAAACACACCAGCCTACCATCTACAGAATGCCAGATTCCACCAAAGCCCCGTCAAATAAAAGCAGGAGAAGGTATTGCTTTTATTTTTATTTAGACAATTTTTTTTTTTTTTTTGCAATTTAATCCCTCATATTTTAAAATGTGTGTGTGCTGCTGCACATCCCTGTGTGTGTAATAAGCAATGAGCATGTGCGTTGTAGACCTGCCTATTGGTGCATATCACTTAGGGCTGGGCGAATAATCACAAAGTAAAATCGACATTCAAAACCTAAAATCAATCAAATTTTTCGAGGATTTTTAAAATTACTTTCCCTACATGTCACGTTAACCTGCTCTGTTGAAGGCTGTGGCCGATTTCTACTTCTGTAGCCACTTTGCAGCCACATCTAATCTCTGGTCAAGTAGGACGATGGACTCATTCTTAAACCTTACTTTGCACTACGTTGTCGATGATTGAACGCTGCGCCAGTGATGCCTTTAGACGTCATATTAAACTTGTCAGTGAACTATGAGGGCAAAAAGCTTTAGTAAATAAATATGATGATCGTTCATTAATAGTAACGGAGTTAAAATGTTCGATTAATCAATATTTTGATTTTAGGACAAAATGCACAGTCGATGGTGTTGCTGTATGTGCAAATATATCGTCCTGCAGTCCACTGTTGTTGTTTTAGGCTTTTTAGATATTTGGTCTGATCTGAAAATAGTTTACTCTAAAACTTACAATAAAGGTTTTCTATTTTTTTGTTAAAAACACAAACGAACACCCCTCAAGTAAAAATAATAGCACTAGTAATAAATACAAAGACTAGACTTTCAGTCTGTCACCATCATCTATGAAAGAAATATCAAATATATATTAGATTTTTTCTTTGCATTTGATGTTCTTTTTTTCTTTACCATAGCTTGTTCTTTCCAAATATGCATGATTATGAAATCAAATTTCAAATATGAAACACTTGTTTTGTGCTTATGACTAAAATGATTGATTGTTTGCTGGTTTGAACTACTGTTACAGTACATACCAGGCATTTTCGATGAAGTTTTAAAACACCAGAAGAAAACCAAGATACTGCCCACTAGCATTTCGGAAGTATTATTGCAGGGCAACACGAACCAAAAGGGAAGTAGGGATGCACGATGTATCGGTCGATAAATGTTATTTTAAATGTTATCGTTATCAGTCCAATTTCAAAATGTGGCTGATATCTTTAAGCTGATAGATAACGGAATTGTACAGAACTGCCTGCCTCGCGCATGTGTGGGTGGAACTTGTTTAGACTTGTCCAGTGCACTATAATAAAGCTCAGATTGTTTATTGCTTCAAAGTCCATTCTTTCTTTGTGTGGTATTGTTTGTGTCATTAATAACTCTGTAAGTAACCATATTCCTTTTCATTGTAGATGTCAGATAAAGTGTCATTGTGCATTTAGCTTTAAATCACTGTCAAATTGCATGTTAATTTGCTACACAAAGAAAAGAAAATAATTTATTTTTGGCACGCTGATTCATGTGAAATCGTGAATATAAGGTCTATATAATCACCTTGCAATTTTGAAGTGATTCATTTGAGTAGGTAATTCAGCTCATAAGTTTTTAAAATAAAATCAGTTGTTTGCGGTATAAAAATACGAGATTTTGAAATATTTATTAGCTAATATATCGGTTATTGGCCTCCAAATCGTAAGAGTAAGCTGTTATCAATATCAGTAAAAAAAAAAAATAATAATAATAAAAATATATTGGTGCATCCCTACAGAGAAGTATAATTGCTCACACCAACATCAGCTACATGCAAGATATATGTTGTGGGGTATGGCATAAATTGCTTATCAATAAATGATGCTCCTTCATTCCAAACCAAAATTCCTAAATCTAAAAATAAACTAGTGACAACAAATTGTAACAGAATTTTAATTAATTACACCAGGAAATTCATCCAGTCTAATTATACCTCAAAATGCGTTAGCAGTGTGCTGATGGAGCTGTACTCACCAGTCGAACCCTCTTGAGACGCTCCTCCAGCTTCTCCTGCGCCTCTCGTTCCCTCAACACCCCCTCCAGCCTGCTGATCAGCTCCGCCGCAAACTTCTCTGGCTCAACGTGAATATCCTTTGGTATCCGGTTTGTGCGCTGATGGGAAGACAATGAAAGAACTCAAGGTCACCATTCACATTTAATGCGATGCTGTGGAGAAAACACCTCCAGCTGTTGATTATACAGGTATGTGGACAGACAAAAATAACAGAGGAACATTAAAACGGGCTGGACAGACAAATGGAGGACACATTTTTGGACAATGTGTGATAGAGAATGAACACGAGGATTCTGTATACACATCGGTTTCAGTTTAAAAGCATCACCTCAAGGACAAAACATGGTACATCTCCAGCAAACAGGATAGACTGCTGAAATCCATGTTTACAGCTGCCAAATATATCATGTCAATCAACATACAGCAATTTCGTGAGGAACTAGCTTATTCTGTACACGCAAATGAATGATAATAGGGATTTGGAGATTCACTTAAATATTTAAATGTGGTTGTCATGGAATATTAGGCCTTTGATGTGAAAAATCAAACCGGTTTGATCACAGTGCCGAGTGAGGAAATCAAACTACATCTGCCTCTGTGCTTTTGATTCATTCTGCATTGTTGCCACAAACGGAGAGAGGGACTGGGTGAGCAATTGTTGGTTGACTGTCTATTGTTTAGTTTGTAACAGACACTGACAGCCACAAAAGTATTTGGATAAGATTTAGAGACTACATCTGGTGTCAAAACAAAACGCAAGTAAATAGAATAAATTAATCAAAAGAAATTATATGAATTCTGGGCTGAAATTACATTAGTAAAACAACAAAAAGACTACAATTTTTATAAAAATATAATGAAATAAAATACAATTTGACGAGCATTAAATATCCATTAAAAACTGTATTTGTTTAAAAAGGAATTAAAACTAATACTGTGTGTTATCACTGCAAGTTAAATAAACATTTCTATCCGAATATTCATGTGAAGACAGCTGAATTCCAACACTCATTATTCTAAACTGCAGCATGATAAAATCAGGAATCAGAGAGTGAAATTCAAAACCTTTTAAGACTTTGTTAAGACCTTTTCTATACATTTATAACCACTTCTCAACCAGAAACACTAGTGAGATTTTAACTGACTGTATATTTACTAAATATTAATGTGAGAAATTAATCCAAATTATTACATTTACATTTAGTCATTTAGCAGACGCTTTTATCCAAAGCGACTTACAAATGAGGACAAGGAAGCAATTTACACAACTAAGAGCAACAATGAATAAGTGCTATAGGCAAGTTTCAGGTCTGTAAAGTCTAAGAAGGGAAGTATTAGTAGTATTAGTATTTTTTTTTGGGTACAGTTAGTGTATTTATATACTGAATACAAATGATTAAATCTAGCTAATTCAGCAGATTGGTGCCTATAGAACTGAAGAAATATCGGTGTTGCCTTGGTAGTAAACAATGCAGCATGATGTCAAATCTAGCAGGATTTCATTGATTTCATAAACTACACAGCATCCTTATATTCGCAGAATTACTTCAGGCAGATTTTAGCATTCAACCATACATTGCATAAACTAAAAATTATTATAAAATGAATGCCTTGCAAAATAGCACCTTGCGGACACCCTGATAATCCTTAAAAAAACATTTTAATACGCTGCTTGATAAACATTTCTTATTTTTAGCCATTTTGAAAACAGATGTGATGCTTCATATTTTTGTGGAAACTCTGATGCATTGTTGCCATAAATTGAGAAGAACGATAAAATGAACTGCATTTCTTGGAAATCTTTCCTCCTAATTTCTCTTTGATCAATTAGTACAGTATTAAACATATGGTTTGCCTTGTGTGCTTATTTTTGTTGTTGTTGTCGTTCTATTTTTATAAACAAGTTTAGCTGTCATTAGAGGATGAGGAAACTCTCATATTTCACCTAAATGATCTTGATTTGCATTCCAAAGATGAATGATGATCTCAGGGCTTCGAACAACATGAGGGTGAGTAATTAATAACAATTTTCATTTTGGTAAGAGCTAATGCCAAGTTCAGACTTCATGATTTTTGCCCTGATTTTGACTCGCAACAATCACACAGTGTAAACTATCAAAGACGGATCTGAGAGAATCACCAATGAGTCGCAGACACCTGTGAGATAATTGTTGTGTTAAATATCTGGAGCTGTCGGTGATTCAAAATCATGCCGTGTAAAATGTGTTCAGATCGAAAATAGCATTGCCGATTACCTACAGCCAATGAGAGAGCAGCATCCACTACTATGGGTATCTGCAGGCCAGCGGGAGGGTGGAGGAAAAGTTAAAAGTGCTCATTTTCAGTCTGTTTGGCCCAAGAAGCGAAGGAAAAATTAGTGGAAATTTTGCACAATCATTCTGTGCAATACCGCAACCAGGTCAAAAAAGAAAAAAAGTTAATGAGAACTTGCTAATTCCCTTCAAAAGCCAAGTGAGCAAAACAAGTACATTTCTATCCCACTAAAGGCTTCTTCCTCATGTAGTTAATAACAAATGATATACTATGTGACCTTGCGCTGTTTCCATGTAACTTTTCATGTGTGTTTGGTTGTGAGTTGTAGCTTGTGGACGGAGACAACATTGTCATTGTATCTCCTATTGTAAAGCCATACAGTCACGATCCATCCTGCAGTATAAACAGCACTGAGAGAACGCTACGCCAGATAGTCATGCAGCGTGAAAACATCTGCAACTACAGAAATAATGAAGTCTGAACTCAGCATAACTCTTTAACCCTACTACAAATCACAGACTGTCGCCCTCTGGTGTGATGACTATGAAAGCACAATGATCTTGTTCGCTTAATAAGATAAACTCTTGATGCCTGTTATACACAACATCATGAGTAGTTCTCAGGGGATATCCAAGTGATTTGTAAAAGGATTAAACACTTTAAAAAAATCATTCATCTACACATTTTGCACTTGCGACACGAATCCAAATCTTCCAACACAAACGTGCTTCATCTGAGCAAATACTTTGGGTAAAGGGGAAAAGCACACACAGATCTTTTTGTAGCATTTTCTGCTCTCAAACAAACAAGACTCCAAATAGCAGAAGTCCAGGAAATGTATTATTCCATGAGTCTGGAAGCAGAAATGAAGAGAAAGAGACGGGGGAGGAGGACAGAGACACATGAAGAAATAGAGTTGCATGAAGTGCCTGGACAAGGTCCAACAAAACCTTACAGGAGCCGTTAAAATTTTGATTACAGGGCCAAATCTGATCTAAAGTATGTTTCGGTTCTCTTTGTTCTGGCCTTCTGTTTGCTTAAGATTCATCAGTCTCCTCCGCAGCCCACACGGTTACATGCCCAGTGGAACTGCAGAATCTGTCAAGTCTTGACAAGGCGTTTTGGTTACTAACACTGCCTCCCTGCCGCAGACCACGCTTACAGAATATGAGAGAGCCTTTTAAACTTAACAGAGACAGAACGCAACCAAAGGGAGGAAGAAAAAAGCCAAGCGAGAGAGTGTTAAAGGTTTCAGAGCTATAAACATAATGTGAGCGTAATGTAGAAGCAAAGAAAACTTGGACAAGCTGTATTAGGAAGAATTAAAGGTCAGTAAATCTAAGAAATAGAAATCATCATTTATTTATTTCATGTTGTTCCGAACCCAATGTTATGCCCGTTCTTTCACTGAATAAAAAAAAATAAAAATGTTACGCAACATCTTTAAATCGGAATAGTTCTCAAGCTCCAAAAAAAGACCAAGGCAATGCTTGCATTAGTACAGTGATGTACTGAAAATTAAAGAGTCTGCTTGGCATTTATGAAAGCTTTGTGTATAGAAAACAACATTTTCAAAAGGCTTCCAGTTCACGGGGAATGCATGCCAAAGCCAGAAGTTTATATGCGCTTTCAGTGAAGAGCATCGCATATTAGTTTTGATAGAAAGCAGGCCAAATTTCGCTCCGAAAATCACATTTATATGATTTTATTAAATATTACCCTTTTTTTAGTTGAGAAAGGCTGATTTACACTTCTGCGTCAAGCACACGCTCGGGCGCAGCTTGTTTGGCCGTCGCGCACCTCTCAAAAAATGTATTTACATGTCGAGTAGCACAAGCTCCATGATTGGTCGGCTTGGTATCGCTGACAAGGGGCGGGACCAAGAGCCATGCAAGCCCGTTGGAGCGAGCGTTTAGAAGTGTCGAGTCCCATGAAGGAGCTCCAAACGGAAAGTTTTGTTTTGCGTTCATATTATGATCAAGTTAAGCTACTTCTACATTATTGAGCTACTTCGACAATAAAGTAGCGTTCAAAAAATCCAAAACACCTGCGATGATACTCGACACAGATGAACATAAAAATCTACTGCCAGCTAGCGTTTCGGAAGTGTTATTGCAAAGCAACACAAACGGTGCGCAAAAGTACAAATGCACAACAATGCGCAAGACATGCGCCGTGGGTCACGCCGATCACTCGGCGCAAGAGTTAAACCAGGTTTAAGAGTGTTTTTTTCTGTTTACATTAATAAGGAAGGCAAATTAAAATGAAAAAAAAAATTCCAATTTGAATGGTTACCAAACATAAATCTATCAATGTTTCCACAAAAATAATGTCACAAATGTTTCCAATGCATAATAAGAAATGCATACTGGAATCATTGCTTAAAGATCAATTGGCAATAAAGACAGGAGTAGCAGCTACTTAAAATAGTCATAAATTGAAATATTCTATAGAAATAATACAAACAATCATCATTCAAGGTAAAATTGTTTGTATCTTAAAAAAAAATAGTTTGACCACACATCGTCTCAATCACTTTTCCACACAGCATCCAAAACATCAATCAGTCATCAAAAATGGCCATTGGGGTTTAATTTTAAGGTTTACCACAACATTTTTAGATTAGTTTGTTTTACCATTTCAGATTTGTTACAGTATGTGTAATGTTATGTGGCTGCAGTAACGCAAGCGAAGTATCAAAATGCCACTGATTTCCTGAAATTAACTTTAAATTTTAGGATAATCCCGCACAGCTCTTTAATAAGGAGGTGAACTCTCATTCCTCTTTGAGCAAAAGACTGGATAGACAAAATATTTCCTCTTTTTTTTTTTAAGCCCCTAAAAACCAAAATTTTTCAGGATCACATTACAAACAAATGGATATTAGAAATTTCCCTGAATACCCCAGCGACAGCAGCAACATGACAGCAAAAGCGAGGAAACCAACCCAAACGTAAAAAATGCATAAATAAGGAACTTTACTACACAAGCATCTGATTTATTACATTTTAACAGCGTTAATGTGCTACTGTCATGGTCTTTAAAGAAACGTTTGAAAAATAATAGCTGCAAAATATTTCACAACATATTTTAAATTCTGATAACATTACATGATGACTTGACAAAAAAGGGCAGTGTGGCAGATAAGTCTGGGGTTAGGGAATCAGCTTTTTGCAGCACGTCTGGTATAACGTTAATGTTTTCTTGTGGTTACATACATGAATATAAGCACTGTGTATTTACAGTTTCATGCTTCTTGCAACATGATCCACCATTCTCAACAGGGACGCCTGAGGAAACCCAGAGGCTCATACACTTTTGAGCTGAAAACGAACAGTGTTTGTCCAAACGCAGTGCTAAAAAAAAAAAAAACATTGCAGAGTGAGTAATCTGTTAAACATTAATACTCTGTGCCTTCAGAAATGACTACCGCAGGTGACATCTGGTGATGTAAGAGTTAGTGACCATTTAGCAGTGGTTTCCCATATCCAATAGGAGTATTTTCAGTCTTAACCCCTCACACGAGAGGTGTTTTAAATATATTTCTGCTGTGATTGAAGACCCATTTAGGACCATATACTTATGCAGCGCCCCAAATCGGCAATTCATACAACATCCTAAAAGTACTTTTTTGTAAAGAGTACATACTTTTGAGTGTGTAACAGAAGTGTATGCAAGCTTTGAGATATACTACTTAATCATTAACAGACTATTTAGTTGCTTAGTTACATCCCTTGTCAATCATCTCAACATGTCATCCATATATCTTTCATATTTAATTACCTACCATATTGGAGCAGCAGGTTAATCTGCCATTCACATGTCTTTCATGCAGAGAAATCTCGACAGGGCTTTGCATAATTACACATTCAGAAGTTAATGTCCAAACACGTCTTCATAAACGTTTACATAGTTGTTTCTGATTAAATAGAACACAGAAAATGTGATTTAAATATTTTTCAGGTTAGAAATTTACAGTCGTCCAAACATATTTACCTAAGCCTCTTTACTTGACGGTTGGTCTCGCACATCCACCATGTTTGCAGTTTGTTTTTTTAACCGTGCTTGTAGATCTAATCAAATTCACGTCCAACATGCAGTGCATTGTGGGCAATATTGGAGGTTAGAGTACAGATGCTTCTACACTTCGAATTTCTACTAGAAACGGTATAGAAACACTTTTTTTCAACAATGCGCTTTAAACATATGTATTATTTTTTGAATACAACTTAGGATGTATAGTATGCAAACTGGAATACTGCATAATGGGGCATTCACACCAGACATTAGACACATGAACATTTTGAGTTTACTCACTTTATTTATTTGCGTGTGAAATTTACTTTACAATAGACGCGGATTCGCATCATGGCAGGGTAAACGTGTCAGCAGGAGGATTTCCCCTCCACACAAACAACAGAGCAACGGCACATTCATGCCCATACTGAAACAAGTACGTGATTGGTTAATGCAGCACAAATGTTCACTAAGGTTCAGAGATGTTCCTACTTTAGTTATTTGGGTGTTAAGCGCATCAAACACCCAAAACTTTTAACTTGCGTCATTTTAAGTACGAGAATAGCATCACAGGATGTCTAAATGCATCCTTGCATTAACTTGATGCTTCATCTTAAGACTTTAACACTCACAGAAATCATAACACAATAAACTGATGGTACAATACAGAACGGTATGGGTCGGTATGTTTTTATGCCTGTTTCCACTGTCCAATGTTACCTAAAAGAGAACCGTACCGTACCAATTTTTGGGTAACCTTTCCAAAGGGTACGTACCACAACGAAAGTGTACCAAAGGTGGTGCGAGACGCGCAGCTGAACACTATTGGTTTACAGAGAAACGTCACTAGCGTGTGTACAAGCCAAAAGAATGAAAACAAAGAAAGCGGCATTTTAAATACACAACGAGACATTACGTCGTAATACTGTATACATATAATAATGAACCATGGTCGACCCGAGCTTAAACAAACCTTGGTGTCGTTTTTATGTATAGCCAAGAAGATAAACCTGTTCTTCTGTTGTTGTTTACAAGGGCATCTAAAGCGCGAGTGGCTTCACTTTCTCCAGAGATCTTGCGATCACTCGTGTGCACATCTATTTTTTGAAATAACGAACGTCTTAAGCTCATATTATTAACTTGGGTGTGATTATTGAAGTGCTTCTGGCATCTGATGCTTTCAGAAACTCACAAACGCGAGAGTGAAGCTTAAAAAACAAAAAAAAACAAAGGAGAAGCTTGAAAAAACAAAGCAGCAAATGATTCTTTCAGCAACATAAAAGAAGAATAAACTGCCATATTTAACTATTATTATTCTCTTTTGGAGTATTATGAACTCGGAATGACAGAATTCCTAACACAATATTGATGTTGTTTAATGTGCTGGTGAAGAATAAAGATGAGATGAGTTTGTACTGACTGTGTATGTCTCGCATCATTTATGGACCTAAATAAGGCCGAAATGCAAGTTATGGGTATGTTTTTATTTGTACTTGGTAACATTTCAGAGGCTGTAAGTTTTTGTATGAATTCATAAAAGTGGAAATGGGCCATGTGTCTTAGTAATGCATGTCTAGAACAACATAAGAATTACAAATGACAGAACGCACATTATCAGCTGAACTGTCCTTTAAAAATAAGTTTGTACATCTGCAACTTTTCATTCGATATTCAGGTTTCATCCTGAAAAAATTTGCTAAAGAATCTTTGAGTACATCACGCATGTGCATACGAGCTGAAGCTGCGCTGCCTCCACAGCCTTCAGTCTCTATAGGATGAGTGAAAGGCCCCGGCGAGGGGAAGTGTATGTTTGCTCTGTTAAATTGGGCTCCATCTCAGAGGCTCCAATTATGCTGGAGCCGGTGCAGTGGGAAAGCCGAGCCATCAGAGGGGGAGGCTTCACATCTGCTGGGGCAGAGCAGGCAGAGCTGACGAGAGCATCAGGAACGCTTTAGACAGCACACTCGCTCGCGCTCTCTCACTCTCCATCAGCTATTCGCCGGCACATGATCAAAGCTCTCCAGCCACCGCTGTGCATCTTAAGAATGCACATTCATTTTAGGGGCGATGGGAGAGACAAGGCAGGGGGAAGAAAAGAGAGAGCAAGAATGACAGGGAAAGACCAGAAGATGATGGACGGAGACAAGGCACAGAGAATAAAATAAAAAGAAGGAGTGGGGGTGAGCGAGAGAAGGAGAAACAGAGAGAGAGAAGTGATGGAAAGAAAGGTAGAGAGCAAACACACACACATAGAGAGAGGGAAAAAAAAGTGTTGTAAAGTCAACAATGTGTTGTGGAAATCCAAAGCATACTTACAGGAATATGAGGTAGTGGCACTCGCCCATTAACTTTGGCACTTTCGTGTATCTCACGTCGATGTGGTTTACGATATCTGTAAGGTGGGACTCCGTCTCTGTGAAGAAAAGCATAATGGGGTTTTAATCTGGAGTCTTTGTTGTCATTTAAAAACACAATGTATGAAGAGAATATCTTCAACACGAGGTTCATAAAACAGACACTGCTCATCTAAAAAACAGCATCAGTGTCTTTAATACACAAAAGGAAATCTTTTGCACAATACCGGTGCCATTATTGTATTAATTCACCAGATATTAAGATGCTAAATACTGTTATAGTACAGGGTTTTAGCAGGTTTCAGCAAGTTAAATTTAAAGGCTCAAACATACTGGGACGCTTTTCGTATGCATTTATCGTCAGCGTTTTTCATGACGTTTTTCCGGATTCAGACACATTTTTACTGGTGTCAAGCAGAAGAGTATACAAAATCCTTCCTTGACGTTAGATGGCGCTACACAACTTGAAGCTTCTGACACTCACTAGTAACACAGAAGAAGATAGAAAGTTGACACGCTTGATGTTAAAGTTACTGGCGATTCGAACAAGCATTGAGTGCCTCCAAGTGCTGTTTACTGTAACTTTAGCAGCTCCATGCATATGAACAGAAGTGCCAATCTGATTGGTGGATACAAAAAAACATGAGGCGTTTCTTAAAAAAAAAAAAAAGCCACTTTTACGCCTGGTGTTTTGCGCGTTGATGTGCACGATGACATTGGTGCCCTTTATTTAGTCACAAGGCATTAAACGTTGACGGAAAACGCAAGCAAAAAGTGTCCCGTGTGAACGGGCCTTAAGACATTAAGACTACTATGAATGAAATTTTATACTAATACAGGGCTAAATGGTAAGGAGATTTTCGAATGGCCAGTTGGAAAAGATTTTTTTTTATTATTTAATAAATTTGATAATAAAAGAATAAAAATTTAACAATACATTTTTTTATATTTTAGTAATTGAATCAAAGTTATTTTGATATTTGTAATGGAAAAAACTGTGAGAACGATAAGGCCATGCACCAATGAAAGTTCGATTGTAAGACTTTCTTTAATTGAAGACCATTTTAAGGCCTTACAAGTACGCAGCATCCCAATTCGCCAACTCATACAACGTCCTAAAAGTACTTCTGTGTGAAGAAAAAAATACATATTTTTGAGTGTGTAACAGGAGTATGCAAGCTTTAAGACATACTACTTCCAGATTAACAGACCTATAAGTTACCTATGCTAATGTTTTACCGGTTTTAAAAACTATAATAAACTAAATGTATGCACCAACAGATCAGCTTACTCAGCAGTAAATACATGGAAAACCTTTTAACAAATGTTACTGTAAGGAAAATAATTTCCTTACAAATCTTAAATAAAGATTTAAGACATTTTAAGACTTTAAGACCCTATGGACACCCTGTAGTAGGTTAGTCATAAACAGTTAAAATGCTGGATCAAATATAACGTAGAAAATGTGAAAATGTGCTGTTACATGCATTGTCGCCAAACTATAAACTGATATTGAAGCATTTTGGTCATAATTGGAAAGTTTGTACCAGAAAAAAATTGACACTCTGTGGCTGAAAAGACTGAAGCGGCTTCATAACTAGACATGACAACTCATGAATGCAGATCTGAATGTACCGCTGTGATCATACTTCAAAAGTTTAACAGACATATACAAATGCTGTCATTTAGCAATATGACTGTGTGGGTGTTTAAACGAGATTGCAATCTCTTTACCACCAATCTTGCAGTTTTAGCACATGACATACGGATGAGGGTTTTAAGGCATTTTTTGTTCACTTTTAGATGCTTTCGTCACTATGAAAAGCAGCGCAGACATTCTGATAAACATCTCTTTTCCATAAAAACACTGTCATTGTTTAATCACACTTAAGACTCATGCACACTAAGACAATTATTGTGCGCACTTAACCCTTCATGACTAGGCATGTCATAATCCTTATATCGACTTGTCAAGCAAATATTGCACAAGACCTCAATGCTTGTCAATACCAAAATATCATATTAAGTAAATGTCCAATTATAATTGTTCACACACATGAGGAAGAATGTAAATTTCATTGCAAAATAGCTTTAGCATCTTTGAGAATTTGTAAATCTACACTTAGCGGCCACTTTATTAGGTACACCTTACTAGTACCAGGTTGGGCCCCCTTTTGCCTTCAGAACTGCCTTAACCCTTAAAGACTGAAACAGCCGCCCGCGGCTAAAAATAAGTAATGTTCTTAAATGTTTAATAACTTTTGATCCGCTGATCCGATCTGTACAATTCAAAGATTGGCATAAAGAAGAGGGAGCTTTCAAATCGCTGTAACATATAACATTCACGGACCTTCAGAGGCTCCAGAATCAGTGTGGTTACGTCATCACATTTTGGCAACGCTGATTTGACAAAGGAACGCTCGTGGCTTGTGTCTACGAACAAACCAAACATGATGCATTGTCCCTCCTCCATGCCCAGATCGGTTCAAACTCGCGCTCTCTCAACCAATAAGCATAGGTTTCGCTTTGTGGACCACCAATCAGCAATTTGGACAGCCCGGAATGAGAAATAGGCTGTACAACGCACGGCTAAATAAAACGGAAAAAAAAAAGTTTTGCATATAATAATCCTCATACTAAGTACTTTTGCATGCACAACAGCACAAAAACATGACAAAACAGTTACACAGCAAAGACAAAGTGCTGGTCTTGTTGTTTTCAAAGGACGCAAAAGGTTGTGTGGCTGTTTCTCTACACCCCAAAAGTTGAGAAGCAGCAGGGTCAACACCATATCCATGTTGGCACATAAAACCCAAGGATGGTCTATATTGAATCTAGTTTAGTATAAAATGAAAAAATATTTATAAAAAAAAAATTACTGAGGATGTGCACCATGTTTTTTTGGACTTTGAAACATTATTTCTTATTTTCTTATTTTTTATTTGTTCATTGTCGAAGTTGTTCATTGTTTATTTGTTTATGGTAATTGAAAATATATTATTTGGAAAAAGTCAAACATGCTTCAGTGTTCTTTTATTTTGTAACAATCTTTCTGTTTAGTTTATTTCCAGAACTTTTGGGCATATACATTGTCAGTAAACAAATGCACTAGTTTTTTTTCCCCCACTGAAAAACGTCTTAAAATACATGGAAATAAATTGCTATAACTTGCTTAGGGAATGGTGGATGTATACAAAATGCATGCTGGATGTATAAAACATCTAGCATAACTATCTTAAGAAACAAAAGCAAACTTCAAGAGATTTTGTTCAGGTTAGCTGTGGAAAATGCCACATATTTTTTGTAGTTTTTCTCAAAATTCTGTAAAATTTATCTTTTTTTGCCATAAAAATGTAAAATTGGAATTTTTAAGGATAAAGATTGAAACTTTAGCTTCTCCTGTTAAAAAAAAAATAAATATATATATATATATATATATATATATATATATATATATATATATATATATATATATATATATGTCACTTGATACTGTCTGCTAAAATAAGTTAGAAAAAAACAAAAATGCAAACATCTTGGGCATCTTCGTTGTCAGTAAATAGAATGTACCAGTGTTTCACAGGAAAAACGTCTAGAATAACATTGGAAAAAAACTGCTATAACTTGCTCAGGGAAGGGTGGATGTAGACAAAATTTATTTTGGAAGTATAAAACATCATAGCATGTATTTCTAAAGAAAAAAACATCTTCATGAGGTTTTGTTTGTGATATTTAGAAAATGCTGTTTTTCTTAAGATTTTGGAATATTTTCTGTCTGTTCATATGTTTTTGGACCAAAAAATATTTTAGACAGGACCTTTAAATGATTCAGATTGAAGCTTCAGGTTCTCCTGTTTAAAATAATATATGACACTTGAGGCTGACTGCTAAAATAAAAATAAAACTGCTTTTAAAATAGTAATAATAATATAGGCCCATTAGGTTCCCACAAAATACCTCTAGGTCTCTTAGGGTTAATCCTTTGTGGAATAGATTCAACAAGGTACTAGAAATATTCCTCAGAGATTTTGGTCCATATTGACACGATAGCATCACGCAGTTGCTGCGGATTTGTCGGCTGCACATCCATGATGTAAATCTACCGATCCACCACATCACGAAGGTGCTCTATTGGATTGAGATCTAGTAATTGTGGAGGCCGTTTGAGTGCAGTGAACTCATTGTCATGTTCAAGAAACTAGTCTGAGATGATTCACGCTTTGTGACATGGTGTGTTATCCTGCTGAAAGTAGCCATCAGAAGATGGCTACACTGTGGTCATAAAGGAATGAACATGGTCAGCAGCGATACTCAGGTAGGCTGTGGCGTTGACACAATGCCCAATTGTTACCAATGGACCCAAAGTTTGCCAAGGTACAATCCCCAACATCATTACACCATGACCATCCCCAGCCTGAACTGTTGATAAAAGGCAGGATAGATCCATGCAATTCTGACCCTACGACCCGAGTGTCAAAGCAGAAATTGAGACTCATCAGACCAGGCAACTTTTTAAAAATTTTGTAATGTCCAATTTTGGTGAGCCTGTGCTAATTGTAGCCTCAGTTTCCTGTTCTTAGCTTAAAGGAGTGGCACCAACAACCATGCCACGTTCAAAGTCACAAATCTCCTTTCTTCCCCATTCTGATGCACGGTTTAAACTGCAGCAGATTGTCTTGACCATGTCTACATGCCTAAATGCATTGAGTTGCTGCCATGTGATTGGCTGATTAGAAATTTGCGTTAACAAACAATTGCACAGGTGTACCTAATAAAGTGGCCAGTGAGTGTAATGTCAGGGATTTTGCAAATTCACCTGGCTTTAATGAGTGAAAGATGACAAAAAAAGGTCTTAAAAAAATGCAGGTCATAAATTAAAGCTCTAAATGCACTGGTATGCACCACAAGGCTTTACGTAATTGGAAATCTGTGTGACTATTTTTATTTTTAAACAAACCATCCTCATTAACCATAGTATTTTGTTAGTCTAATTTGCATAAAAAGGTTACTTACTTAACATTCACTTAATCAAAGTTCCTAAGTTTGTTAACATTCAATG